GGACTGCATGGGATTTTTACCCTTTGTCCCATGTCCCACATTTTGATTGGCTTTCAAAATCACTACAGGACAATGGCTGTGTAGAAGGCAGGAAAGGCAGTCATCACAGGGCTGTGTTTAATGCCAGACAGTGGGGTAGTGGTGCCTATAGAAGTGGGTATACTATTATTAATTTATTTTTACATGTCCCGTCAAGCCAAGGATAAACACCCTGTGTTATAAACAGTGACATGTAAGACTACTCAATCAGTACTGGCCGACAGACGGGTGAGACAACTACATAATTATACATTTTGAGTGAAGTATTCCTTATTCCAACATCCACTCAGGACAATTGTTATGCTTACTGTATTACTTAGTGTGGGGGAAAATAGCATACAATACATTTAAGTCCTTCACATGCTAAAGGCCTATCCTGTAACATGAATAGTCTATTGTGTTCTTTTGAATCAAGACAAAGCTTGAGATATGACAAAGAAAGGGGCACAATAAAAATGTTTTTTTTAAGTTTCAATACATTGGCCTTTTAGACTACTTCTTAGCACTGGTAATGTGTCCCACACAAACATATGTGGCATGGATAATTCCAGTCACAATGACAAACAATTCATTCTGTTGTCAATAAAATCACTGTTACTGTTTGATCTTTAGTCCCAGTTCCACCAAAATCGGTCATGGCTTGGCAGAGAGACTCGAGAGACTGATTTAAGAAGAATCTCGAGGTTGGACGAAGTTAATGGAGGATGTGATTCAGACGGTGACAGGATGACACCACCATTACGAGAAGGGGGAAAAGATATTTCGCAGCCCAAACTGGAAAAAGCCTTTAATGAATCACCAATACTGAAAGTGAGGAGAAAATTACAGCACTGACATAAAAGCCAACTCTGCTGCAATTACCAATCATATTAATGTCTGTCCCTTTTTTGAGGTTCTCCTGGATCACTACTTTCAAGATTTGAAGGCAAAATTCTGCCTTTTTGAAAGATAACCACCTTGACTCTAAAGTGAAAGTGTAATTTCACCAGTTTCACATGTCAAAGTCAGTTTACTTGGCTACTCATTCAGTTGTTTAATGTCTTGTGTGTCTCTGGAGGAGCTTTTAGTCTGAGAAAATAAACCTGATGATGTCATCTGGGACTGGAGACTAGATAAGACCACCTCCAGACATGTATTAAGACATAGTATTCTTGGAACAATAATTTGTGTGTGTATAATTTCCATCTACTCCTTCTACCTCATTAAATATTCCAGACTCTGTAATCACAATCACGTTCGGCAGATGAATATGAAAAACATCCTTCTAGTGTAAAACTAGAATAACTGACCATCCAGAGAGACATTTCACAACCTGCCGACTCCAAAGTTGTTCTCACTAATGGCTTATAAGTCATCTTTGAAACATATACATTCATAAAGTCATTAGTTACAACAACAATTACAAAGGGTGACGGATTATGAAGTGTTGCCCAGAGATTTAAGATTTAAATGGTGTAATGCTGGTTAGAGTTCATTCCAGGTTGCTGTGTCTAAAATAGTCTGCTGTCAGGGTGTTTTTCCCTGGGGAGCTGGCTGTATTCACAGCATACTGCTTTGGCCCACCTGTCTGTGATTATTGGTTCAGCTGCGCAACGTGCGTTGAGGGGTTGTACAGGAGCAGCAGTCTACCACGTCCACAGTGACAGCTGCCATTGAGCTGTTGTTTCTCAGTTGTCACCACGTAGCTGCTCCCAGTCCACCTTATTAAGCTCTCCCCTTAGTGTGTTTGAGCAGTAAGTCAAGGCTTCACAAGCCTTACATCAGCATGCTGTGTCGCAAAACTGTGAGAGTAGCTTGATGTAGAATAACCACTTAATAAGAAAACTTTTCAGCTCAAAGATTATGTTGCTGAGTAAATCCTTATATTCTTGTATAAACACAACTTGGAAAGTGCTGCAAGGGTCTGAAAAACTAAAGAAGTGCTCCTGATACAGATGATAATGGTAACAAAAAAGGACGAGTTCACCAGAAAATCAAGGACACATTGTTGCAGAAAAGAAAAAGTGCAACTTGTAGTTTAGTGTCTTTTTCAGCTACATTTTGCAGGTTAATGTGGTGCCATCAGTGTTGATGAATGACCATTGATGAAGCATGCTTGTTCAGAAAATGGGTATTGGTTTAATTCTAAATCAAGCTTCTTGCCACAGACTCACACTGACACTATAAATATTACAGCCTATTATTATAAAATAAAAAGGAATGTGTAGTGAAGGTTGTATTTTTCCAAAGCAGAGCTATTCTGCTGTTAAGCATGTTTAAAATGAGCATGAAAGTTAATTCTTGACCTTGGAAATAAAAGATTTAAAACACAATCTAAACTCAGTGTCGACTTACTGACCTTTTGATCTCATGGTCTCAAGAAGCGGATGGAGTTTTTCATTATCAGTTAATCTGTTATAGTTTAATAATTAATTATTAAATTATAATTAATAATATTTTTTTAGATTGATCGATTAGTTTTTCTCCAGAAATTTGTGAAAAATGTTGATCAGTGTCTTCTACAACCCAAAGATATTCAGTTTACTATAGGACGAAAAAAACGATTAATTTATTCACAAAATAGTTAGAGATTAATTTAATAGCTGACAACTGATCAATTCCTAAACTAATCATTGCAGCATTAGTCTGCTCAATTGCTCAACTAAAGTTCAGTTGGAGTTGCTAACTCTATTCTCTGATGAAGACCATGATATGTAGTTGAAAGCTCTAGAAAAATGGGGGAACTTGGTTTAAGATTATATTTATTTGCTTACTCTGTATTGTCCCGCTGTATTATGTAGGAAAACAACCATAGAATAGAATAAAAATTATAATCTGGCAGTTCTTTTTTGTTGTTTTTCTTATCAGAATTTTCCTCTCTGTTTTAAATAAAAAATAAAATTTTAAAAATTAATCATTCGATGTGTCTCTGTTTGATTATAATATGCACTAAGAGAGGCGCTGAACTACAACTGAGCATAAACTTACTTTGGCACTGCAAAAATCCAACTTTAAAGATATATAATTTCACACCTAAGAGTATCACACCTAAATTACTCAGTTTCCAGGTAACAACTGTTTGACATTCCTTTCACTGTGGAACAAAAATTAATATGCAGAGGCAAATTGATCTAAGTTGGAGAAAAACTCATTTCAAAAAAATGTTTTTAGACAGTATTTGTGTAAAGAAGCACTGTACTGCTTTATAACTTATAGAATTGAATCACATTTACAGCAAAAACTTCAATAATCTCTACATCGAAGCCATCAACCTGTCTTTTAGACCCCATCCCAACTAGGCTGCTTAAAAAAGTCTTACCCTTAGTTGGCACTTCTTTCCTGGATATGATCAATCTTTCTTTATTGTCAG